GCAACAAAAAAGGAGGCAGCAGAGTTGAGTCTTTATATATATAAATACATAACACATCGGACACCAACTTGCAGATTGTGATGTTCTCCCAACATCATCACACTTATTGATACTTCTTGCTTCAACTTTGTTGAGATACATAGAAGATCTTGGAGATGCTGATGCTTCCGAGGAGGCTGCTGCAGGTATGACTCAATGACCTGTAACCCGAGCACCACGGTGAGGTACTGGCGCAACATTGGCTTGGGCATCCCCACCCCCAAGGAGGCCAAGGAAGGTGCGCCGCCCGGGCAGAGGAAGGTCATTGCATGTTGCCTCATGCTGGTGCGGTGTGATGAACCCATTATATACTCATCATTTCTCCATGAATTGTCATTCGGTTGTCAACTCCAGAATTGCTATGATTTTGAATAGGTCCCTTAACACCAGCGAAACTCGGAAAAGGCTGTGCTTGGGGGACCCACCTTCAATACTCTTTTTTACAGTTCGGAAAGCAGCGCTGATCGTTGGGTTTGGGGTGATTGGCCATAGGCAATTTCGTGGACAAGAAGTGCCCTTTCACTGGGTCGGTCTCTCAGCCGGTGACACCCGGATCTCGCAAGTGGGGTGGCTGAGCCAGCTTTGGTGACGATGATTCCACAAGGTGGAATTCCCACCTTCAAGAAGTACTCCATAATAACTACAGCAATTAGTTTCCCTCACAGACCCATAGCTGTCTCTTCTTGGCAGTTCCTGAGGAATGTCAGCATCCGTGGTTCCATCCTGAAGGGCATGTGCATCTCTACCAAGATGAAGACCCCGCCTCAGTGATGCGAATCAAAAAGCGGACAAAGCTCCAGGCTCCAGCGGCTTTAGTCTAGAGACCCATTTTCACATGGACCTTGGAGAACCAGCAGAATAGGATCACGAGATATCATAAGAGTCGTGAAGGCTGTGAAGGTGAGGTGCACCGCCATGCAGCTGTTCCTAGGTCAGAGGGTCTTGCACAAGATTCTTGTTGGATGTTGGTCGTTTGTTGTATCTCCAGGGATGTCTCAACATCCGGCCACATCATGAACAGAACTCAGAACTGAACTGTAAACTTGCTAGTCTACTGCTCATTCGAGGCGAACCATCATCATCCGCCGAAACTACTTGCACTACATCAAGCGTCTCGGGCAAGAGAACGTCTCAGTCAGGGAGGCCTTCTTTGGCCTCGTCACCAGAAGGTGTTGTTTGAGGACAGTCAGGCCTACTCTTGAAATCTATTGAATAATCTGATCTGGAGCATTGCAAAACATGATCACATGTGAAAATTGCATGGACAAGGCACCGAGGAGCTCTTCTGTCCTCGTGTGTAGACATTGCATTTCCATGCTTCCTTCGGTTCCCACGAACGCCGAGAAGCATTTTCTTGGGGGTTCCTTTTCGGTCGGACCGCCTAGATCCAGGGTGAAGATGTGATACTGGGTCTTCCTGTAGTGATTGATCCAACACAAGAAACGGCTGATTTTTGCGACAGCGAGCTTGGCGAGAAAACCCGACGGCGAGAGACCACTGTGGCATAGGGTGGCCAAGGAAGTTCAACCGTTTCGAGAAGCGCCACAGCAACGTGGCCGTGCACTGCTCCCCGGCCTTTGAGCCCAAGGAGGTGGAGCGGGCGTTCTTTTTTACAGTGGCTGTGAGTTGAAGGAAAGATGGACTGGGACTGAGCGCAAAGCTTGAACAGAGACTGACTGTCATTACAGAGAGTGTCGGGACTTGGTGTATGTTTACAGTACTGGACAGTGAACTCTGACGTTTCCTTATTTTTTTGTCGGAGAACCATTCCGGGTAAAGCCAGTGAGTGTAACGACGTAACCTGTGCTCAAGAAGGGCTTCTCAAAGTTTCCCAAGCGGTGTGGTTGGTATATAATTCGTGAAACAGGGTTCAGATTGGAGTGGATACTTCGAAATCAGCCAACTTTGCATATAGAAATAAAGGGACGCATGACGTTTGTTGCAGCCTTTTTCATGGCGGGTTTTGCTTGGGTTCCCAGAGGCTTCGTGTCCGATCGGTTGTTGTTGTTGCCGGCGGCAGGGCGACATCATCACCGCAGGGCAGTGCCGACCCTTGGCGAAAACGGTGCGCTTCAATGTCCTCAAGGTGGACTGGATCGAAGGGAACTTCGGAAAATCTATGGTTTATAGGTTAGTGCTTTGTTGAGCTCCGAAAGGAGGACCATGAAATCTGAAAGACTCGGCTAGGTTAGCAGTGTTAATGAGAGAGCATCAGCCACATGTGTTGTCCTTTTTGAGCAGGAGGCACAGAACTTTTCCATCTCAAAGATACCCTTCCCGGTCAGTGGCTAACATTTAACCTTGTTTTGGGATTGGCTTCCCCAGTAGACGAGAACAGGTGGGAAATTGTTACAGTGACCTTGATTGTCCACAGAAAACGGCTCGGGAGTATAGTACACATGTTGTCTCAGTTGTCTCAAGAACATTGAACCACGTTGACCAACAGATCTCGATCATTGACCTTTGCAACCCATGTTTTAACCCACAGGCTGAAGTCTCGGTGTTCGTGCTGCATCAGGTGGACAAGAATCAGATCTTCGGATCTGCCCGAAAGCAGCGAAGTCCTCAGAATGTCGATCTCCTCGTTTTGACACGTCGTTGTTGTTTGGGAGCCTGAATACGAAAACGAACAATTCATGGAAAGGCAGCAGGAAGGCAACAGATATAATCAATCAAGGATGCTTCGTTGACGAACAATTTGAGAAGGAGTGGAATTTGTTTGGTGGTGCCCAGACATGTACCGACTGGAAGATTGAACAAGGTCCCATGGATGAAAACCCTTCGAGAAACAAACCATCACACATTGAGCAGGTCATAGATTGCGAGTAGTGAATTTGGTGCCCAGACAGGTTGGTAAACATATATACAATATACAGCACATGTGGAACACCATCCTATTGTGCGATGGAGGTCCTTGGAACACTGAGGTTTGCCTTGTTCTGAGTACGAGCGCGTTGTTGGATCGGGAATGCAGCTGTAACTTGAGACGAGCCAGCAAGGGCCATGGCTATGTGCAAGAAAAGACATGGCGAGGTTCTGCAGACAGACACAGATTCTAGTTGGGGTGGGGTAGGACCACGTTGCATTGCTTCTGCCTGTAGTATCTATATACAGTAGTCTAAGTCTACTTGTATAATCTTGTATAAGTGTCTACCATTGTCTATCTTTTGTTGTATGGTCAGGATAGACAGAGTCTCCAACCCTCATATTGTCCAGCAATACCCTGCCAAGGTCATGGCAGTTGAGTTGAAGTTGAAGTCAATAAATACACCACGTTTCACCAGCACAGTAGCTTACGGTGATGTTTCCAAACCCATCAGAGTGGGTTTGTCCTTCCGTTTTCGCGCTTGTGGCACCCCCCACGCCGGAATCCAAACGGGCGGAGTCCAGCTGTTGCGAGGACACATGAGACAGTGGATTTGGGAGACTCATGGACACCCGCTTTCCACGTTCGTGTTCTTCTAGCTGGCACCATTTGGCACCTGTACCGGGTAGGTAGGGGGACCAGGTCCTTGAGTCTACAGCCAAACACTATACCGAGAGGACGTGGCGTGATGGGTGCCAGCTTCGTGATGCCGTCGTGCCGTCGTTCACCGCCGCTCTGGCTCACAGGGAACAGCCGCCACTCGTACGACGCACCTGGAACTCGCTCGTGGTGCACCGAGAACGACGAAACCAAGTGCACTCGACCAGTCCCATGGATTTGCAGGAGGTGAAACGAACACGTTGGCACGTGGGACATCTTGCGGAGTCGGCACATGTTGACACTTCGACTATGGGGTATTTGGATGGATAGTTCATGATAGTTCCAACAAGTTCCAACATAAAGTGTATTTTGGATGTTTTTGTTGTTTTTTACACAATGTACTCACAGGATTAGGATCGTTAAATCCCAAATTCCTTAATCCAGTTTTTACATCTACATCGAATCTGCTACATAACACATAAATAAATGGACAGTACAGGGTGACATATCAGTTATACCAATTTGGGGCCCGAGGCCTTCCGTTGAGCCTCTCAGACTTAGGCACCATGGATCAGACTGAGAAGGCTTTCCAGAAGCAGGACGATCCTCATTGGCCGGCGTGCGTTTCCGCAGCCTGTCATGAGAGCGGATCCATGCAGTGTTGCAGAATCCCTTACCGTAAGTGCTTGGAGATAAGTCCCTATCCTGGCATTCTGGCATCTACGAAAGATTCCCTTTAAACAATTTGAGGCCAGGCGGCGACGTTCTGCGCACGGTTTCGCACTCGTTCAGGACGCGGTCTTCCTGGGCTCCAAGCGGCTCTTGACCAAGAAATCCAAGAAGGCCGCCAGGCGCGAGGGAGCACGGTGAGTGGAGCTCCTAAGGTTGGATTTGGTGGGGCAGGGTCGGAACAATTTACGGATTGGCGAAGTACGTAGTTGAACTTGAGGTTTGGCACAGCAGGTGCCTGGATGGGGTGGGTGGTCGCTATGCTTCAAGGAATTTAAGGGTTTATAATGGATTTTAATGTACTGTAACATAATGTAACCGGTGATGTATCAAGCGGGTTTAAGGTTCCTCAGATCAGCAACAATTGGTTGAGGCAGGTGCTTTTGGCAGAGGACGTTGGATAGTTTTTGTTAAGTGATGACCTAATCCCGGAAGAATTGATTGATACCACATCATTCTCACACTTCTTGATACTTCTTGCTTCAACTTTGTTGAGATACATTGGAGTCTTCGATGCTTCCAGGGAGGCTGCTGCAGGCATGACTTGCAACCCGAGCACCACGGTGAGGTACTGGCGCAACATCGGCTTGGGCATTCCCACCCCCAAGGAGGCCAAGGAAGGTGCGCCGCCCGGGCAGAGGAAGGTCATTGCATGTTGCCTCATGGCTGGTGTGGTGTGATGAACCCACTAAATATATTGTTATTTGCTCATCATTTCTCCCTGATCATCAAGAAACCAAAGGAATATTTGGCAACAGCAATCCATTGGTGCGCCATGATTTTGATATAGGTTCCTTAAAGAACTGTAGAGAAACTGGGAAAAGGTTGCGCTTTGGAGACGCCCACCTTCAATACTCTTTTACAGTTCGGAAAGCAGCGCTGATCGTTGGGTTTGGGGTGATTGGCCATAGGCAATTTCGTGGACAAGAAGTGCCCTTTCACTGGGTCGGTCTCTCAGCCGGTGACACCCGGATCTCGCAAGTGGGGTGGCTGAGCCAGCTTTGGTGACGATGATTCCACAAGGTGGAATTCCCACCTTCAAGAAGTACTCCATAATAACTACAGCAATTAGTTTCCCTCACAGACCCATAGCTGTCTCTTCTTGGCAGTTCCTGAGGAATGTCAGCATCCGTGGTTCCATCCTGAAGGGCATGTGCATCTCTACCAAGATGAAGACCCCGCCTCAGTGATGCGAATCAAAAAGCGGACAAAGCTCCAGGCCCCAGCGGCTTTAGTCTAGAGACCCATTTTCACATGGACCTTGGAGAACCAGCAGAATAGGATCAAGAGATATCATAAGAGTCGTGAAGGCTGTGAAGGTGAGGTGCACCGCCATGCAGCTGTTCCTAGGTCAGAGGGTCTTGCACAAGATTCTTGTTGGATGTTGGTTGTTGTTGTATCTCCAGGGATGTCTCAACATCCGGCCACATCATGAACAGAACTCAGAACTGAACTGTAAACTTGCTAGTCTAGTGCTCATTCGAGGCGAACCATCATCATCCGCCGAAACTACTTGCACTACATCAAGCGTCTCGGGCAAGAGAACGTCTCAGTCAGGGAGGCCTTCTTTGGCCTCGTCACCAGAAGGTGTTGTTTGAGGACAGTCAGGCCTACTCTTGAAATCTATTGAATAATCTGATCTGGAGCATTGCAAAACAACACTTGTTGATCACATGTGAAAATTGCATGGACAAGGCACCGAGGAGCTCTTCTGTCCTCGTGTGTAGACATTGCATTTCCATGCTTCCTTCGGTTCCCACGAACGCCGAGAAGCATTTTCTTTGGGGTTCCTTTTCGGTCGGACCGCCTAGATCCAGGGTGAAGATGTGATACTGGGTCTTCCTGTAGTGATTGATCCAACACAAGAAACGGCTGATTTTTGCGACAGCGAGCTTGGCCAGAAAACCCGACGGCGAGAGACCACCGTGGCATGCGGTGGCCAAGGAAGTTCAACCGTTTCGAGAAGCGCCACAGCAACGTGGCCGTGCACTGCTCCCCGGCCTTTGAGCCCAAGGAGGTGGAGCGGGTGTTCTCTTTTTTACAGCGGCCGTGAGGTGAAGGAGAAATGGACTGGAACTGAACGCAAAGCTTGAACAGAGACTGACGGTTCCCAGAGGCTTCGTGTCCGACCGGTTGTTGTTGTTGCCGGCGGCAGGGCGACATCATCACCGCAGGGCAGTGCCGACCCTTGGCGAAAACGGTGCGCTTCAATGTCCTCAAGGTGGACTGGATCGAAGGGAACTTCGGGAAATCTATGGTTTATAGGTTAGTGCTATGTTGAGCTCCAAAACGAGGACCATGAAATCCAAAAGACCCGGCAGGTGGTGATGAGCAATGATGAGTTCAGGGATTGTATATAGTGGGGATGTTTATATTGATGTATATGTGCTCCCAGTCAGTTGTCTTGTCTCTCGTGCAGGGGCTTGTGGTTAGGCTTTGGGGGCCCACCAGGTAATAGGTGGGAGATTCTTTGCCAGCGTCGGAGTGTGGCAGTGCCGATGAGAGAGCATCAGGCACATGTCACATGTGTTCTTCTATTTGATCAGGAGGCACAAAACTTGACCATCTCAATGATACCCTACCCGGTCAGTGGCTAACATTTAACCTTTTTGATCCTTTTTGGGGGTTGGTTTCCCCCAGTAAACAAGAACTGGTGGGAAATTGTTACAGTAATCTTTTTTTGTTCCACAGAGAACATTGTTGTTGGGCTTGGGAGTACTCATGTTGTCTCAGTTGTCTCAAGAACATTGAACCACGTTGACCAACAGATCTCGATCATTGACCTTTGCAACCCATGTTTTAACCCACACTCTGAAGTCTCGGTGTTCGTGCTGCATCAGGTGGACAAGAATCAGATCTTCGGATCTGCCCGAAAGCAGCGAAGTCCTCAGAATGTCGATCTCCTCGTTTTGACACGTCGTTGTTGATAGCTGTTTGGGAGCCTGAATACGAAAACGAACAATTCATGGAAAGGCAGCAGGAAGGCAGCAGATATAATCAATCAAGGATGCTTCGTTGACGAACATTTGAGAAGGAGTGGAACATTGTTGGTTCTGCCCAGCCTATTTTGCGATGGTCCTTGTAACACTGAGGTTTGCCTTGTTCTGAGTACGAAAACGCGCGTGGTTAATTTTACATCGGGAGCTGCAGCTGTGACCTGAGACGAGCCAGCATGGGCCATGGTTATGTGCGAAAAAGGGCAAGGTTCAGCTCCGGCAGAAGAGCTCGCGGACAGACTCAGATTCAGAGAATGGGGTGGAGCAGGACTATGTTGCTTTGCTCCTGCTCATAGTATCAAAACAGTAGTAATTCCCCACCTGCGAGGTGACAGTTGTTGGATTTTATCAGAGCTCTCCCGTCCCGCCTCCTCCTCCTCCGCCTCCGGGTCCTCAATCGCCAGTGCTAGATCGCAGTGACCGCCGGGCCTCAACCATTGCAGTGGGCACCGCCGGGCATCGACCGCGAGCGCTGGATGGCAGTGGGCACCGCTTGACTGCGAGCGCTGGATTGCAGTGGGCACTGCCGGACCTCGAGTGAAAGGTAGAAATGCTAGATAGAATGCCTGAATATGCCACGCCAGAATCCATGCCAGATAGAATGTTCATATGCCAAATACAATTTTGGAATACATAAGTTATGCCAGAGTGTATGCCAGATAGAGTGCCCAAATATTTGCAAGCAGAATGTCAGAATATGTGCAAGATAGATGTCAGAATTCAGAACTTTTCTGCCAGATAGAATGCCAGGATATTCCAGTATATAGTTTTGTGCAAGATGGCAGAGCAATGTCAGAATACATGTCAGAGCACATGCTAGGAACATCTGTCACAGCACATGTCAGACTGCACGGCAGGAAAATGTCAGAACGCATGCCAACAAGGACGTCAGAACACACTCCAGCAGCCTTTATGATAGAGGCTAGTCATCTGTCAGTACATGTGCCCTGCCTCCTTCCAAATCGCCTCAGGGCGGGGATCGCTCGAAGTGAAGTATTTTTTGTTGGCATGTTGGGATAGACAGAGTCTCCAACCCTCATATTGTCCAGAGTATTGTCCAGCAATACCCTGCCAAGGTCGTGGCCTTTGAGTTGAACTGAGATTTAAAGAAGCACGTTGCACTAGCACAGTAGCTTACAGCGACGTTTCCAAACCCATCAGAGTGGGTTTGTCCTTCCGTCTTCACGCTTGTGGCACCCCCCACGCAGGAATCCAAACGGGCGGAGTCCAGCCGTTGCGAGGACACATGAGACAGCGGATTTTGGAGACTCATGGACACCCGCTTTCCACGTTCGTGTTCTTCTACTAGCTGGCACCATTTGGCACCTGTACCGGGTAGGTAGGGGGACCCGGGGACCAGGTCCCATGGATCGGGCAAGTTGCAATTCCAGTTTAGGTCCTGATTCTGACCATGACAACTGCACATGGTGAATTTGATCGCAGACAGAAACCTCATTGTCCTATTGGAACAAACTAGACAAGATCAATTTTTATCCTATCTCACAGCGCCCAGTTCTCCATGATTTTGCCAAACCGGTTCGATGTGGCAGGACGCACCAGCTGCATCGCAGGGGGCGCCAAGCGAATGGTGTATGCCAATGAATGTTGCGCCAACACATGGGGTGTATCTTGTTTGGGGTGCAACTTAATAATACAATACTACTGTGTATGTATATATATATATATGTATTACTATTTCAATCATGCATCAAAATATGTGATCTGAACCCCAACAAATTTGAAGAAACATTTTTAATGCCAATTCCAATTTCAAGTTGTGTTTGAATCTTTGCTAGGTTCATAATTTAGGACCTGTTGTGCTATGCCATGCATGTGCAGTGCATGCACAATGCAGATATTCATCGATGCAGGTCACATGAGTGTCTCAAAGGCTTGAGAACCTTTAGGACCACAGAGGGGATGACAAACATAGCATGACCGGGTTAGTTTTGTCTAGTAAATGTCTTTGGAGCGAACAGGTCCTGTGAACACAGGAAACATCTCTGGACATCTCTCAACAACATCAGACATCTACCTACCAAGTCCATCTACCTACCGCCACACTCTCCATGTATGGCATGATCTACCTCACTTCAAAGGGGTGTGTCCAGGGGTGTTGATGTGATGTAAATACCGACCCTACAGCCGCACACCACATCCCACCACCACGTCTCGGCCCGTACCACCAGGTCAGTGGGACACCCCGGCTGCGCCGATGGCAGCGACGCCTCCGCCTCCACGCGTGCGAGCTCGGAGGCCGCGCCACCGTTTTTCGACGCAGTGGGGAGGGATGGGATGATTCAGGGCGGATAATGGGGAACCTTCAAGGAATGTTTTGGAGGTGTTGATTCCTTCAAATTTGAGTCCCATTGTTTTTCCTATATTTGTTTGAATCAGTTGCAAGGATTTGCCCATATGAATCGTATGACCCTCCACTTTGGACCCCTGTTGCGTGGTTTGACGTATTGCTGGGCAAAGGCTGTGATCTTCGGGCTTGACTGTTTCTTATATTTCCTCCTTTTGTTTTAAACAACTGCAGTAGCAAGGGTAGAGTCCCGCTACAAGGAGGAGTTCTCAGTCGGGAATATTTGGACTCTAGATGCTCAGGAAACCAATGTGTGAGTCAATGTGTGCCCTTGCTCGACTACGCTGTCCTGTCCGGTTGCGCTGGAAGTGAAGTTTTCTCGTTGACTTGTCGACTAGTTTGCTGCATTTGCATATTACAACAGTCCCACGTTGAGATCTGTCAGAAGCCAAAAGAACACAAACAGTAACACAAGCATACTGAGTTGGTGATCTAGTCCATATATATATATATATTGACGGACTGTAAGTTAGAATGCGGGTTCATGGACCAAAATTGTCCCCGTCTCAATAGAATGCGGGGCACAATTCACTAAAAAAAACAACAGATAGAATGGGGGGGGCACATGGTTGAGGTTGAGCAAATCCTCAGCCAACCTTTGCATGGCTCTGGGAGTTAGGGATTCCTCCCTGAGAACGAAGATGCCAGGTACACCATGCACACTGTGCCTATAGAACTACTTATACATATATGTAAACATGTGCTATAGTCTTCACTTGAAGTTCTTTTCTTGTTGATTCCCCCTTCGAGCCAGGATTGTGGCAGTGTGTGGCATGTAGTTACATGTGCGGGGGTACTCTTCAATGTTTGTGCACACACAGTGAAATTCACACATATACATATATATATATATATAGTGAACATCACATATATCACTATACTTGCACATTTGTTGCTCATATAGTGCTCAAATATACCGTTTTGTAAGTCTGTTTGGACGGACTGTAAGATAGAATTGCGTGGTCAAAAGGTTTCATCGTATTTAGAATGAGTCGCACGCGTGCCCAAGGGCCAAAATTAGACCCGTATCGCGTGCACCAACCGCGAATTCTAACTTACAGTCCGTCAATATATATATATACAAGTTTTGGCTGTGGACCACTGGAGTACACCTGTGTGTGCACCCCACAAAGCTATGCTGCACCATTGAGGCTGAACCAGATCACGAAAGGTAGCTTGAGCTACCTGAGTTCTCCTTGCTTTAGCAAAAATCAGGAGTTGGGATTGTGCATTGAGTTTGGTCCTGTAAGAGTTGATTCTGTTCGTCGGGGGGGGGCCCCCGTGGCTTGGACTGTTGTGGTCTATGTGGCGTGGACTCTTTCTGGTGTACATAGTACTGGCACTAGGGCTGGCAGCTGTTGTTGGGCAGCGTCAAGTCAGCTGGCCACGTGGGATCTTGTGATGGTATGGCCTGGTAGCTGGGCTAGTTTCGCTGGTCCTTCCTCACTGGGTGCCCGCATTGTTTTACAGCGTCCGCGGAGTTTGCGGGGTCCGCGGGGTTCGCGGGGCCCGGGGTTGGCGGAGTTTGCGGGGTCGGCGGGGTGCGCGGGGTTTGCGGGGTCCGCGGGGTTCGCGGGGTTCGCGGGGTTTGCGGGGTTTGCGGGGTCCGCGGGGTTTGTGGGGTCTGCGGGGTTCAAATCGTCGATTGTTACACGACTGGGAATGATAAGTCTCTTATAGTGTTGAGTATCTGAGAAGTGTTAAGTGCTCTTTTGGTCATACGAAGTGTGATTGTCTCCACTCCAAAGATGCCGGTTCTCTTCTAATTGTCTTGTATTATTGTGTACTTGTACAGATGATTGGTTTAAGTTGTTGTGTGAAAAGTTGTCTTGTATTGTTTTAACTACTTGTGCGCCGCATGGTCCGGAACTGTCCAACGAACGGCCCCCCCCCCCCTGGATCAAATCCCCCTGCGCCGGTTCACGCCGTCATGGACTTCTACCAGGGTTACTTGTGATTGCCTGCCACCTTTCGTTCACCCCCTCCTCTCTCAAGTCCATTTCGACAAAAAAGGAGAACAGAGATAGGTTTACTCCCAGGTGAAAGCTCGGAGGTCGAGTTTTTTCGGGCATGGGCATAGGTCGCTTTCAGAAGCCATACGTGTTTTGTAATATCAATATTAAGTAGCACAATCCTTAGTATTATGAAACACTACTACAGTATATTGGTGTGTATTACTTTTTGAACAGATTCACAGTGTGTTTACATTTGTTCATGTGAAACAAAAGACTAGTGGACAGATGGAGCACCTGCATCGTCGCTTTGCATGATCACCAGATGAACTTTGAAGCCAGGAACCTCCAGATGAGGAGAAAGCGAAAGTGGCAGCAGGCAACTGGACAACTGGACAACACTTCAACTATTCTCAGGATTTCTGCGATGTATAGTCTTGAGACTGAAATGTAAGTCTTTGAACATGTAGCATTGAGGACTTTCAGCATGTAGATGATATATGATTATATATGCCCAAGTCCTGCTGCATTGAGGTGGTTACTTATAGGAGAGATTCCAACTCCTTTGCATTGAGGTTCCAACTCCTTGCGTTAAACTTATGGGGTTTGGTGAGAGATCCGTGAGAGATCGGTGCCACAGGTGCGAAGAGATTGATGGAGGAGATGGGCTGGAGACGCGAGGCGGGCGAGTCGCAAGCTCCGGTCGCACGAGTCGTAACATCAAGTCACCGTCGTGCTCGATGACTTGATACAAGGGCGTAACACCTAGGGGATCCTAAGGGCTACTTTCTATTTGGTGTATTTCAGGATAGGAGACGAGCAACCGGGTTGCACAATCATTTGCACAGTGTGTCCAAGAAACTGACAGACATGGTTGTAAAAAGCTCAACGGTACCCTGAAATGGTCGACAAAGGAAACTGCCGCAAGCATGCTTTATGGGCAAACCAGCACAAGGTGCAGTTCTGGCTGCACTGCAGAGCAACTACCCTGCACAGTATGTAAAAGTGGACTGTATATAATGAGACCACGAGCAAGCCTTGTTTGGTTTCTTTGTGTTTTGGCTTTGGTTGCTAGCTCAGCCATGAAACGCCAAGACCTTGAGACAAAGCTCCAATTGCAAAACACATCAAAACGATGAATGACACGTCCTAACCATGCATGTAGACACCCTACGATCGATTTGAGAACGTTTCCTTTGGCTCCTCGAAACCATGTACATGAGTGCACTCCCAAAAGCACTCCGAGTGGTAAGTAGAAACAGATGAAAGAGTTTCCTTTGGATGGGTCTTGGGCTGCCAAGCGTGTTCACGTTTTCCCCAACTTCAGGTTATATAGGAGAACAGTGTGAGCTTTGCTGCCAGCAAAGATGACACAAGCCAACGTTTCTGGAAGGGATCTATATACTGTAGACTAATTACTACTATTCATATCTATTAACTGGAAAATTATAGAAATTTGCACAATGTAATTGGAGCCTTTGAACATACTGTGATAGTTGGGCCAGCCGTGTTTCTCGGCTAACCGTTTGTTTCGTTTACCCACAACTCGCGTCCGAATCTGGTATTTGAGACAGAGCCGGTGGCAAAAAAAGACACCAAGCATGTTGCGCAAATGGAGTTCCTGGAGACGGATCCTTGCTAGGTAATACATGGTAATTAATACTGGTACTGCAACATGGTTCCATTTCGGTTGACAAGCGTTTTTGCCGTGCTACCCAGCTTCTTTGCCATGTTCCTCAGATCAAACATACTGATCCAATCTGATCCAAACATGCTGGATTCATATCAATACAGTCAATACAAGCAGAGATAATGGGCAGGAACGTGTTTTTTGGTCTCGTAGCATGCTGGTAGCCCAGACTTCTGATAAAAGGCGGCTGCAGCTAGACCTTGGACCGTAGCATCATAGACATCGAGTTATGGAACCATAGACCTTGCTGCAAGTGACACATGTAGATTGCCCAAGAAGCCAGAGAAACTCATCCAGCAAAACCACGCGTGCGTTCGTTCCTCATGCTGCCGCGAGATCCATTCTACAGAAGGCCCATCCAGACGTTGAGCTTCCATCCACATCCATTTTGGGGGCAGCCCACCAGTCATGTGGATTGGTGTGAGGCCAACTATGTTCACACACGCTATGTGGCTGAGTTCTTCAATACCATGTCTTCCATTCCAATGTTGGTGGTCTCCATCTGGGGGCTCTATTTGTGTTTCAAGTACCAACTAGAGCTTCGTTTCTACTTGTGCTGGCTGGGCATTGGTGTGGTGGGCATTGGAAGTGTGGCCTTTCATGGCACACTACATCCCACTGGCCAAGCCATTGACGAGCTGGGCATGATTTGCGCATCCTTGGCCTTCCTTTATGTGGTCCTTGAGATTGGTCATCTCGAGGCCGTTCAGCTTCGTTCAGATCGTTCAGATATCCCCCATGTATCGTTCAATGTTCAAGTTTGGTTTGTGTGGAGGGTTCTTAGAGTGCGCTGCGGCTGCCACTATGGTGCTTTGAGCACAGACGGTTTGCCAGGAATGAACAAGGCTAAAAACATTAGGTTGTTTTCAAATGTATCCGTTGTACTCATGAAACTCCCAACATGTTGCACGTGCAGCGGATGTTTTTCAAACCTGTAGTATAGGGGATAGGTCTATCTATTTCACCTCAGGCTCGGCGTCCATGGCTTCCATGGGTCGAACTCCTCTATGCTGTGGCCTTTGCCATCGCTTACTTCACATCTCCGTTTTTCTTCCCCATCTTCGTGGCCATTTACGCATGCACGGTGCTTCTCATCATTCATCAAGCCTATCGTGTCTATCAACACTACCAAAAGGAGGAGAGCGCCTCTGCGGTGTGGCAAAGATGTTTGTTCTGGACCGCTGCTCTCGGCTATCCTGGTGGCTTCCTGTTCTTGTGGGTTCCCGAAAACGCGCTGTGCCCCTTCTACCCGGAGATCTTTCAACGCTTGCATTTACATGCGCTTTTCCACATCGTTACCACCATGTCCCCTTACTGTTATGTGGTGTTCATGACCTACCACCGGTGTCTCATGCTCAAGCGCGATGCGGAGCACCGCTTGGGGGCGGGTTTAGCGTATATTCATGTCAAAGAAGCTGCTTAAGACTTGTGTCAACCATTTCTTCAGACACACCGAGCTGGGTGTCTTACCAGAGCTTCTCAGCGTCATCCAGCACCCAAAGAAAGTGCAGCAGAGAAAAGCAAGCGAGACAAGGAAGGGTGGAAGCGTCCGATAACCAGGTACATTCAGAACTCAAGGGGAGTTGTGCTAGTGCTAGTATCGTTCCGTTTGTCTTAATGTTGTTATTCTTCTTGGGGGACCGACACGGCTGGGTAAGGTGTTTTGGTGCACTACCATCATCGAATGTTGCAAGTTGCGAAAGGTCTTAGTCTTCAAACATGTGCAGCCATTTATATGAGGTGTCAGATGTCATAGAAAGGTGTCCACGTGATCCTAGAATTCAGCTTCAATTGTGGGAAGTTGTTTTGAGAGAGCATGGGTTTGATATCTTAATTCCGTTTTGGTTGTCAAGCGGCGAAAGGCTTATAAGGCTTGTTTAGGCACTCCCTAAACCACCCCAAAACTGGACACTGGGTGGTGTTCTTTTATGTTTCTTTTTCTATTTTGAGACTGCTAGGAGGCTAGGACTGGTATAGGCCTCGATTCGGAACATATCTTATTTATTCTTATTTGATAATTATTTCTTTTGTTCATGTGGTCCTTTGAGAGCTCGAAACCCAAGACTTTGACACCTCCGCAACGGCTGAAGAACACCTCGGTCCTTCCGGTGCATCGAGGCTTCCGTGACGCCGGGCCTCGATGGCGAAGAGGCCCCCCAGCGGCGGGGCGATGGATGTCCTCGGTCTAGTCGCTGGGTGTAGGGCACCCGGTGTCGCTGGCGTGTTTTCTTGGTTGCGTCCGATGTTTGAGTTGGAATGGTGATGAATGGTGGCACAGGATGAGGATGATAATCATGCAGTTCCCTAAGTACATACTGGTCGATGTTGGAGAGATACTGATACTACAATGATCAAATTTGCTTGAATCGCCCACCATCACTCACCATACAATGTGCATCAATGTGCTTGATGAGACCTGTTTGTTTTGATATCCTTAATGCTGTTTCTCCCCATGATAATCGTGGCACATCTCATTCACAGAAGTAAAGCAAGCTTGTAGCTTGTAGTGTAGCTTGTATATTTGGACAACAATCAGCCCGTGCTGTCATTCATGCGGTTTGGCGCTGGTGTTTTGGACCATTAATTTTGGTTGATGGGTCTTTCCCACCACCACCCCACCTCCCAAAATACCTGGCGCATGCAGTGCGAGGGGTCAAGACAGCCAGGTGGCTGAGTGGCGGGAGCAACACCCTGCCTACCGTCAGACCATCCAGCAGGACTGGACCGCGGAACCACGTGCGGACGCCACCCCCACGTGGGGAGTCAATGGGATGGACTACTGGAAGGGGATATAAGCAGCGAATCAGTATTGTATATATATATATATATTTGTATCTGTGTAATAATTTTATACAGTATATATACATGCAGATTATGCAAATTTGCATATATAATAGTATACAATATTGTTTATGCAGTAAATGATGTTTTGAGGTTTTTGCTGCTGGCAGCCAGAGTTGGACCCAGTAGATTTAGGATGCCAAACTTTTGGGACTGGTCAGACTCAAGATTTGTGTCAACAGAGACACTATTCGCCTCGCACCTCCTAAGGTTCCGAGATATTGAGCTTCATGTTAGTGCCAGAACTGTCAGAGGTGACTTCCACAATCGGACTTTGGCTCTACAGACCTTCAGGTCTTTCCCAGTTTTCGCATGATCATGATGAACTCTCCACCTTGAATAGGCCGATGCTTCCCACCATTCCTGGCACTGCAGAACATGGTGCCCCGCTGGCTAGTAACATCTAGTAACAGTAGGTGCACTCAGGTGAAGGTTTGTCCGAAGCACGTACCAAGGTGCAGGGGTTCCACGTACTTCGAGAAACCGATTCGTCCGATGGTCCGAACTCCCAACCACCGTCTGGCAGGAGCGGGAGAGGCTGCGGTCTCAGTTCTTGCAGTGGGCGTCCATCAGCCGATGAAGGCCGACCAAGGCCAGAAATCCGAGATCGATCCGAGATCGGCCTGGTGAAGATCCTGGTGTATGTGTTCTGTTCCCTTTTTGGGTGACTGTAGCTCAAAGATGCTCATTCGCGTCGTTTGCGAGAGAAGACATCGCTGTTCGAAAACTATGATCCTCCCAAGCTCGTGTTGCTTCAGCCAGTTGCAATGATTGTTAAACTGACATCAACTGGTGCAGGACAAAGGTCCTCAATTTCCAAGCCCCGGGCGGTGAAGACTCTGGGAATATTGAAGAAAGCACAATTGAGCAGAGGGACTAAGAGGAGTAAATTCTTTGCCACATTTGCCTGATGATTCTGTAGTCTGTCCATTCCACTTGTAACCAACAAAAAGATACAAAAAGCTAATAAAGCTACTTTTAAAACCAGGTGGGCAACTCCTTTAAAACCAGGTGGGCAACTCCCTCATGAGGGATCAGCCCGCCTCGTCATAACTCCTGGATGCTGATGTTCCGACCTTCCTCTATCTCTACTCGACATGGGTCGACTCCTGGATGGTCTTCCATTGGCAAAGAAACACATCGACGTTTTGGACACCGACGGGATCGGACACCGACGCTCCGACCGTTCCGTTCCGGCTGCAGGACGCTGAAAGACTTGCTCATAGAAGATTGGCAAGTCCAATGAAATCCAATGAGTATACCTGTAGCGAGTGGCAGACACGTGGACTTTTACAGCATTCTTTGAGAAAGGTTCTCTTGGCATGCCCAGATGAGCTTGAATGAACATGGTGCATGTGTCGTAAATGTTTATATATGTATATTGTTATATACCTGTTTGGTTGGATATGATGACACCAATTATATAGCCTTTAGATGCCTTTAGGATGTCACCATGTTCACATAACTTCGCTGCAAATTGCACAAGCTGGGCATGCTTGGAAGACTGGTCAGCCCGAGCCTGTTATGCACAGTGCTACTTCAGTAGCAACACTGAAAATGCATTGTAGATTTGGTAGATAGATGTAGGATTTGTCCTTGAATCACGCCTGAAAGTGCAATCCAAAGATGTGAATTCAGATCATTGATGAGCTCCACTTGCATCACGTTGCAAATACGTTTGATTTGTTGAGGGACATTTTTGGGCGCAATAGTAATGCATCAACTCAAAACATGTGGTTGATGCATCGATTTTGATCGAATTTGATACTCCTCGGCTGACTTGGACAGGATTGCTGCACTTTTACATGACGGGCCATCCTCACCATGATAAAATATCGGAGCATTGCCACTTCTGAGCAGTTTAGGAGATTGTGGGACATTCCCTCCGTGTGAGTACAACATATACATCTCAAGCACAACTTGATTCTTTTGAGTGACTGCCCCGCTCTGCCCTGCAAGGTTATTAAGCAGACGACCACAACGGCGAACGGGGGATTTTATCTCCCATTGTTTTTTTCTTTTCGCAGAGTGAGAACACCTTGGCTGCTAGCGGGCTTGCAAATTCCTCAAGCAACATATAGTGAAAGCCCTGGAAGGTTCCCGCAAGAAGTGGTGTGTTAAAGACGCTATGAAGGCAGTGAAAGACATCGATTGTTTTCGATCGACTCTTCAACTCCTCCTGTACTAGACACTAGACGAGGCCATGGCCTGGTGATGTCCTTGCATCATACCTCACACATGAGCTTCCAAGCCAAGCAAGTGCACGGCATGTGGGGCAGATACAATTGCTGTCCTTATAGGCGCACACACACACACACATGCAAGCAGAGGACCCATGAAAGCAAGCAACAGCCAAGGTGACATCTCCCAAGGCTTAAGTAGTCTTTTGAGAGCTGAGCTGAAAATTGTCAATTTGACCGGGAATTGGAGCAAGGGTTCCGGGAGCAAAAGATGAGATATGCCAAAAAGAAATGACAGAAAACAATTCAAAATGGATGTTGCAGATTCCGAATCAGGCAATTGAGAAGTATTGAGGTACGGTACTCACATTAAGTAGTAATAAATCTAAATCTGAAATAACATGAAATAACTCAGTTAAAAGGAAGATCCTTTTCTGGAGACACTTTGCTGGTTCGTTTTGGTTCACACGTGCGGGTTTGGGAGGTTTTGCATCGTGAAGCTGGAGCTTTACAAGCTATGAAGCCAGTTCGATAGAGCTCACGCCGTGAGATGAACCACAAAGTCCCATGCATGTTCCCACCACCTCAGTGGCTCACGGCGAAAAGGCAGCACAAGTCTGCAAGCAATGAGCCCATTGATTGTGGCACGCTGAAGAAAGCGATTTGACATGAGTAATTAGCAATGCGCCCATGCAACATGCAAGTAGGAGTAGACTTAAATAGGCATTAAATTGCGTTAACGTGAATGCATTAACTTCCAACCCATGCACACGTCTTCCACATGATCCGACATCGAACACGTCCTCAATTACATCCCAGATGAATATCGCTCACCCTTTTTTTCTCAACCTCTTTTTGAGACGACCAACACCGCATCGTCGTTACTTGGTCCTTGCACAGAGCTTCGCCGTCCAAGCCATGGCTCGTCCGGAAGACCATGAACCCTTCATCCCCGACACTGCCCC